GTTGTATATGCTCCTTTAGTGTTTTCCTTCTATTTTCCAGACATTGTCCATGAAAACATAAATATGGGGTCAGACGGGGAGAGCGATCAGGCGTCAGGGACGTCCTCCGATGAGGTGCAGTCCCCCACGGGGGTCTGTCTGAGGAACAAAGGGAACAGACGCATCTCTGCTGAGGTGAGAGTCTCTTCAGCCTCAGTTCTCCCTTCTCCCCTCCCCGCTCATCAAACTATAGACGTCTTAGATGTGAGTCACTCGCTCTGCCTAAGCGAACTTTGACGTGTGAAAAGTGCTCCAACGCATTAACTCAGCCAAGTCTGTGTCTGTCTGATTATTCAGCTCGCTCTCTGTGGCTAAACGTATGTCATGAAGATGTCAGCGGAATGAGGCAGAGTCTGATCATCTCTCTAAAGGTTTTCCTGCAGACAAGCAGCTCTTCTCAACTCGCCGTTCTTCCACCTATTGTTGTTTAAATCAGTTTTGAAATGTGGTTTGAAACCTTTACCTATTGTCACTACGTCCGCCTACACTAAACCTGTTCTCCTTCTGTCTCTCAAATTTACGTAAACTTCCTGCAACCTGAGTTGGACGCATCTCTGGTTATTACATAATATGAAGACTTTCAGGAACAAAACTATTATTGTCTTTTTGTTTCAATGGATTTATTTATTTATTTTATTTACTTGGATACAAATTTTAGAAATATATTTTTTATATTATTATTTGAATACAATTTGGGTGGAAAATGAGTCGCACTGATTTAATATGATCGGATGACATCGATACCACTAAAAATTAAGGTTTTTATAAGTACTAGTGTAAAACAAAAATCTATTTTCAACTTTGAAAAATCTTACAGTAGGTGAAGATAAATTTTTTTTTCTCCAGAACAACAGCACAACATAAAGTATTGTGTAAGATAAAAAAAAATAAAAAAACTAATTGGTCTGACATGATGCTATGCAAATGTATTCCTGTTGGTCGTTGTCAGACAGGTTCTATTTCGGGAATTTCTTTACAGGTCTAACCAGAACCTGCTGTGGGTGTGGCTCAGAAAATTTGCCCTGAACTGTGCTTGATAACAGTCCGTTTAAGAGGAAGCATTCACCTTTTCCGTGGCTGTTTCTAAATAATGTCAATAAAAACAGATTTATTTTCCAGCTCCCTTTGAAATGTTAAAAAGTGACCAATCTGAATGAGAATAAATACTTTATCACAGCACTGAGCAAACAGCTGGCTGCAGGCTAGCATGATTTAAAACATTCAATTATTGTTCCTGTGTTTTCATAAAGAGGCTAGTGCTAACAGGATGCTAACAGTACCAGATATTTATTTGTTGCAACTCATTTTCTATTCAATGTTTATCTTTTTAAGGGTTATAGATGTCCCTCTTCCTCTTGCCTTCCTCCTTCAGCTCTTATTTGAATACAGATTTCCAAAAACGTAGTTTTGGGTAAAACTCTTATTACAGTATAATAAAATTCTTTAGATTTCTTATTAGCTGCTGCCGGCTTTAGCAGATTTCCGTCGGCTTAATTCGGTTCACAAGTTCATAAACTGCTGATTATTTAACTTATGCGATCAGACTGTTTTCAGCAGAAAATAAACGGTAAATTAAGTAGCTTAATTTACAACAAAAAGCAAATGCATTTGATTTATACAGAAATACTATATAAATAACATTTGTAGGAGCTCAGTTGGTAGTCCAGTTTGAAAGATAAAAAATAGTTTAGCTGAGGATTTTTCTGACCTGTAGTTGCATAAGATTGTAGTATTGGAGTGCAGAAAGTCTGACCAGGAAGGAGAAACGGTCAGAGACCTCACTATTGGGGAAAGAAAAACAAGAGAAAAGTTAGCTGTAGCTATAAAAAATATCTGTCCTTGTGTAGCTAAGACATAGTTTAAAGTGGTTCCTTTTTTAAGTACTGTAACAGACCTGGTTTCTTTAAAATATTACCATCAAAACAAGGTTTATCTGAACAGTTGGAGGACTCTGATCGTTAGAGAAAGATGCGACACCACAGCTTATAATTGGCTAACTGTTGCTAATTGGATTTCAGGAAGGAACACCTGACATGAATCAGGAATCAGGGCAAATGTCTGTCTTCTTCTCAGAAGGAGAGCAAACGCATCCCTCCTTCGTTTTTACGTTCATAGAGGCTGAACATAAACTTCTACTGTTTAAAGGTTCAGTTCTGCTCCAGCTGTGATCCTGGCAGAAACTTAAAAAACAAAACTCTTCAAGAGAAACAAAAAATCTTTTTTTTTGCAGGCCGCAGAAAAGACAAACCATGCATGCAAGATAGCAAGAGGATGGAAAAAAAATAACCTCAAGAACCGGTGGTGGAAATGTGCTGCCCACACATAGATCTCTGAGAGCAGAACATGTAGCCTACACCTCATACTTCCTGTGACTGTTTCACAATCAGAAAAAGTGTACTTTTTAAGGTGAAATTAAGACGTATGGCAACAGGGGAAACTTGTATAGCACTTCCTGCTATAATTAAACATTTCATTGCTTCACATCAGCAGAAGAAACGACAAAGTAAGAAATGAGAGCATGGCGGCAGGGAGCCATGCCGTCCTGGGATTACATCACCGGGATTAGTGTAATACCGTCCAGATGGGCCCCTGTTGTAAGGGATTAGGACGGGACGATTGGACGACTCCCGGAGAGGGTGTGGGTGCAAAGGTCAGGCGATGGATGGACGTCGCATGAACAGAGTCGCCAAATCTGGCCGCGTGAATCGTAACGACAAAGCAGCAGAGGAATGTTTCTGAAAACATGCAAACATCGCAGCAGCTGCCACCAAACCGAGCATCTGTTTTAATGTGACTGTTGGATATCCAGCCATCAGCAAGTTGTTCCAAAAAAAAGGACGGATATTATCTTTTTTTTTTAAAAATAGGTTTCAATTAAAGCAAAGATGGCATGAAATCTATAGCACTGGATTGACAGAAAGAAAATAAATAAAAAGGTTACAAACATGTACTTTTTAGCACATTTATTTATAGGGTGGGAATGATTATTAATTAATAAAAATTAGTACCAGGTTACAGCATTAAGGTGATTAAGATTTAATTGGTGGTTCTTTAATTTCCGCAGAAGTTTGCAGAAAGTAAAACATTATTCCTCCTAATTTTGTTTTGGAGAAATCAATAAATGCAGCAGATCATAACAAGGAACGGTGACCCAAAGTTGGAAAAAAAGCAGCTGAAGGTCAACCGACCAGTCCAGGAGGCTCTTAGATTTATCAGTTTCCCATGCGTTGAAGTGCTAGTTACATAATAGTCTGCGTTGGCGAAAAAAGTTAAGGTGAAAAATTTCCTGCTGCAAGTAGAGTGAAAGCTGTAAGAGAGGCCAGATTAAAAACGGTGATCTAACAAACTGGAGATGCATTTTGGGACGGATCCAGATGTTGAGTGAGTTTGAGTTTATGTAATAAGTCAGGAGTTGGACGTTAACAGGCGCTTCCTGCTTTGATGCAAAGAGAAGCTTTCATCTGCAGGTGTATAATGTAAACTTCCTGTTTGCGTGGGCGGCTCTGACAGGTTTTTCTGCCAGATTTAAAACTGATTTCATCAGACTTGATGACAGAGATTTCTCTTCAAGAATAAGTATTTTACGAATATGTTGAAGTGGCTTTCGAAACAACCCTTTTTTTTTTTTTAAAGGATTCTCTGAGCATTAATACTGTTACTGGAAGTAAAGATGACATAATGTGATTTAAGGACC